TATATATATATATCAATATTTTTCATAAAATAAGCAACACATCACCATATGCATCAAATCTCCTATAAAAAGTTATCTTTTTTAAGCAATCAGAACAAAGATCTGCATTTACATTTGTCACAGTCCCTGTAACCTCCAACTACATAGCACTACTTGGCATGTGAACTATTAATTAAAAATCAATAGTGTTTTTGAGAATTGATACAATATCACAAAATGTAATATCACAATACTCCAGTGTATTGATATTTTCTTACACCCCTAGAAAATATAATTTATTTATTTACTGCTACAGTATAAACAGTATAGTGTACAGTATGAGCCTTTCATTGGTATTCCTTGACAAATGTAATTCAGAAAAGGAGCTGCAATTTGTCACAGATGTCTGAGGTATCGACTGTCAGACGGCCTCTGGTCCCAGTGTTACAAAAACAAAAATGGAATAAAGAGTAGGGAGTTTAAAGAGTGGGTTTCAGAAACAGTTGGGGGCGACTGTGGTTCAGTGGGTAGAGCAGTCGTGTCCCAGCCGGAGGTTCGAATCTCAGTGCCTGCAGTCCACATGTCAAAGTGTCCTTGCGCAAGACACTGAACCCCCAAGTTGTCCCCGATGGTTAGAGCCATCAGTTCAGTTGGCGCCGCAGATGGCTGCCATTGGTTCTGTACCGAAAACTAATTCCTTGTGTGTAACATACTTGGCCAATATAGGTGATTATCATTATCCTTTAGGTAACACAACAAATAGGGGTCTACATTTCTATTTCTGAAAGGATCTTTATATCTTCTATGTTAACATCACTGTAACATTTTGTCTTTTTGCCGCTCAGTTACTTCACATACTACAGTATAAGCATCGGTAGGGCCAGTAGTGAGGGAAGCTGTCCCTCACATTGGTGGAGGCCATCAACAGTATGACATCAATTAGAGAGACAGTTCTCTGCAGCAGTGAGAGCAGCAGACATGTGCAACATGTGTGAACAGGACCACATGTCACATTTTTGTAATGCAGTTTACAGCTTGATGACACAGCTCAGTGCAAGAGGAGTTTAGGACAGTGGGAAGCACATTATATGCAATGCATGTAAATGAGACTTGAGAATGAAGAAGTCTGGATGCAAACATTACATTACAGTTATGATTTACTTCCATATTTTATGTACAGACAGGAGGCAAGCTGAGCTTCCTCTTGAATTTTGTTAAATGAATTGATTCACGCTGTGGGAAGGCTTCTCTTCTTTGTCTTACCTGCAGGTGCTTCAACATTATAAAGACATAGAATTACCGTGCTGGCCCTATAAGGTTACACCAGCAGATCAGTTCATATACTGATGCTGGCTATATAGGTGATAGTTCAGAGGACAAACATTCAGCTCCAGATTAAATGCATTAAAAGCATATGAATTATAGACAAGCTATAATATAATATGCCTAGGAAATAACCCCCTCAACCATCATGTCAGAAAGAAAACGTGAGTGAGAGAGGATATTATATGAAAAGAAGAAGCTGAAGCTTATACCCTCCAGCAGTCTGGGAGTGTGTTTACTCAAATGGACATGTGTGGAACACGCTGTTTGCATCTGCGTGGGACCGTGACAGCTGCCTGTCACATCCAGGCCCCTGAGGAGCTCCTGCTGGGAGTGTGTGCATTTAACGAGTGGGACCACAGTATAGGGTGAGCAGCTGAGCTGGTCGAGACATTTGTGTGACTTTGTTTATGACGTTGATTTTCCTTCCTTAACCTGACTAAAGCCAACGTCTGCATCCTTGTCTTCAAACAAGAATGCCACTAGTGGACAATCCTCAAGCACCCTGGATTTTGTTGTAATGCCAAAGTAAGCACTGCATGGTTAAGATCAGGGAATGATCATGGTTATGGCAAACATGATATCATTAAAGGTTGGGCAACTACTGTAAAACACTGGAGTCAGTTTAGGAAAAGGCATTGGTTAGAGTTAATATAAAGGTGGCTGTTAAGGGTATGTGACAGAATGCCACCACTGTAGGAACTCACTACACACTGACACTCATCAATCCCCCTTAGTTTACTTTGCTACATAAAGGGCTCACTACTTCCTGCATTAGCACTGAACACTAGCATTGGGCATAATCATGAGGGGCAGAATCATCCATTGTAAACATACAATACATCTTAGGATACTGGGCTGGGACTATTTTTGGCCATGGGTACATCTCAAGTTTCTTATAAGACATTACCTCACTCTGAAGAGGCTGCTGGAGGAGCTATGGGTGAGGATACACAACAGAGCATCCTTTGCACAGGTTTTTTAAGGACGAACGCCCCTTTTTTGGATATCAGTTTGTGATTGGATGCTTCAGGAAAGGAAAGGATATCTGATGTATCTAAAAATGTGTTTCCTTGAGCACTCTCTCTTTGCATCTTTTCCTCACATCTTACGTATGTGGGCGGGGCTTAGACACAAGAAAAGTTCTAAGTAGGGAAACGTGGATGCATATAAGGGACCTAGGATTCACTCCATCCCTGCAAACTCAAGTCTTAACTTTAAATGTCCAGCAAAGTAAGGACTTTACTTTGCTGGATTATTCTCATATTTGAGAGAGCATTTGGTCCTCATCACATAGAAACCAAACATTCAAAGAAACCAAACACTTCACACTCAGACCAGACTTTCCTCTTCAGTCTGACAAAAGCTCTTGAAATATAACTTGCAGGCCTTGTCTATTTTTGCCTCCCTTTTTGCATGTTAGCTCCATTTCTGCCAAGATCCAGCTTATAAAATAAGTGACTAGGAGCCTTTGAATTAATATCTCAAGTGTTTCATTCTTTTTTTAGACATTCCCCAGTTTACCTCCGTGACACAGCCTGCTAGTTTTTCATGTGTACTTCATTTGCTCTGTTACAACCCATCTCTGTTTCCATCCCATGTTGCTAATGTGTCTCCCTGCCCTACATGTAAAGCTCAGTGTCATGCTGAGTGCACCCATTATTGCTAATTATTTATTACAACCTCTGGCGGTGTGCCCACTTGCCTGCTCAAATCAAACATTCTTATTCTACAGACAGGGCTGTAGAGCACACCAAAATATCAATTTAATAGCCTGAATGTTCCAAACTGTCACTGTATTTGGATCAGAGCTTTGGTGTTGTGTCAGGCACGAGGGGGAAATGTTCAGATGATGACAAGTTTCTTTGTCAAATGGCCTGCTTATCATGGTGTTCTGACACAATGTCTTTTCTCCTGAGTGTTCGTCACATGTATGTGCACAGGGCTGGAGCTGCATTTCATAAGAAGGCAGTGTTACACTGCCTTTCTTTCATATTTCAGGCTTTGCACCAGCCTTGACAGGACGCCTGTCCTGGTGGTAGTTAGGTATTAATCCAGTCACTGCTAGAGAATGGGCAGCCAGGGAAATTCTGGCAAGTCTGCATCAACTACAGTGTTTTTGTGTAGGACAGCAGTTGATGGAGGCTTGCCTATTTACAGCATTCTTTCTCTTCTGTTATGTAGGGAGAGACTCCTCTTCCTCTTGGTTTCTCTCGATGCTAATTGAGAGAGAGAATGAAAGAGAAGCAGGAGATCAGGTGGGAAGATGAGAAATCAATTAGGGCTGGCCAAGGACAGCATTATTCATTCACACCCCCCTCTGTGGAGGAAGGCCTGTCACTGGTTGGAGAATCAATAGAAATCAAAGAGGTGTGTGTGGGATAAGGAGTGGCATGTTACAGCAAAGGGAAAGTGAGACAGCCTTCTATGTCATTGCAGCCTCCTTCCCCTCCCGGCCTCCATCTGTGTTCAAAGCCATCTGATTAGCCTGGTGCTCAGGATCAGAAAGGTGACCCACAAACCTGAATTTAGGCTCCTGAGGGTTCTGGGCTGACATTTTAATAGGCTATACAATCAAACATGGGAAACTGATAATCATGGGTTTTACACAGCCAACCAAACCCGAGTCACAGAGCATCTGTTTTATAGGCCCATCCTGTAAATTGCTCTTTGTGATCAAATAGCTTCAGGTATTATGCTAAGAATCCACAGTGTTGACGCTACTCATGTCCTTGATATGGGAATGAAATGGCACACAGGCTGAAGCAGCTTCATTGATCATCAGTCCAAGAGGAACTAGATGAAGTCACTGGTTCTTTCAGTCCTTAAAACCATAAAAGTGGACTTCTCAGTTGTATTAGTTCAGAGCCATGTTTGAAGAAATTCACAAAGAATTGACTTTTTAAAAAATAATCAGCCATTTATTTGGAGATATTTTTAAACAAAGTTTGGTCCTTAATGTCATTGGCTTTGCTTTCTCCCCCTTTTTCCCTTTTGCCTTGGCGCTGATTGGCACCCGCTTGCTGTTTTGACCCAGAATCCCCTTATGTTAAAAATGCTTAATTAATAGTGGAATAATTGGTTAGCAACCCTGATTGAATATTTGGACCTAATGACGCATTGACTATTTGAACATAGTTAACAAAGGGTTGACAGCATGTGCTCTAACAACTGATAATAAAATAACAGCTGGGTTATTTATCAGCTGCCACAAGGCTGCTGTCTTACATTGTCCTCAATGAACAATGTTCATTAACTATGTCAAGTAAAAATGTTAATTTCATTTGTCTGGAAACAAAGACTCCTTTGGCGCTTTTGCCTGGACATAAAAACCCCTTCATATTCATACTATTCAAACATTTTTCAGCCATGTGTGGCACTTGGATTATGATCTGCAAATGAGAACAAGTTGCAGTGATTTGCACTGTTAGTCAGAGCAGGTATGTGCACATAGTGTGCCTCTGTCTGAATGTGTTTGTGTGCATGAGAGGTGAAGAGAAAGTGAAGAACTTGAGTGAGAGAGTTGCCAGTTGTGAGTTGTAGTTATCAGTGGTGGCCTCTCACAACATAGCTGTATTAAACCCACACACACCCACAGTGAATGACACAGAAATGCTTCGTTTCTCTAGTGACCTGCTGACTTTCTATTCTCCGTGTTGCAGTGCCTCCCCAGATCGTGGTTCGGCCGCGGGACCAGATCACAGCTCCGGGTCGCACCATAACCTTCCTCTGTGGCACCAAAGGAAATCCTCCGCCGGCCGTCTTCTGGCAAAAAGAAGGCAGCCAGGTAAGAAATGTCCTGTGACATCAGTTAAAGTCAGCACTGTACCACCTTCTGGCATCTGATGAATCCATTACTGTGTCTGACAACAGTGGTACTGGAGTGACAGAGTGGTCTAATGGTTACCAGGGCTCCCACTGCTGATAGAAGTGTCTGCACTCTCACAGAAATAGGATTTGGAGTAGTAAAATAATGGGAAATTGCACTAGCTAATTTTACAAATGGGTCACATTACAGGAATATATTGTATATATATACAAATATACTGTGCACCTTTTAAATGGGTTATTTCAGCTTTGTCTCCTCAGCCTTCCAACTTGTTAATATAAGGGCTCTGATACAACTTGACCAAGAAGCGTGTTGCCAGGAGAAGGGAGGCAGTCTTGAAATATCAAAGTTCCAGAAACATTTGCAATGTTGAGAGTCAGCCTGTGGCCTTCATCAGGGTGTGGAGCAGATATGCAGTCAACTCCATCCAGCATCAAACACACTGCTTACCTGACCGCCAGGTGGGAGTGGTCTAAAGCCTCAGACTTGTCTCACTCATGGGCACTGATATGTCACTGTTAGATTTTCCTCATGGGTAACCTTTGATTATCAGATAAGATCACTGAAGAAGTGGTCTGACTTACTGTAGCATTACAAGTCTTGTTAAAATAATGAAATACAGTAAAATTGAACCAAAAATACTAAAATACTCTATTGTTTTTTTGATTTATCTATTTATTATAACCTTTTCTTAATTAAAAAGTCTTTTGAGAATTAGTGTCTCCTTCTAGAGACCTGGGCAAAATGGGACATAGAAAGTAATTTTCATCCATTATATATCAACCACTTATACAGGGTTGGATCACAGGGGCAGTAGGCTTAGTAGGCTGGTCCAGTCCTCCCTCTCCCCAATGTTTTCCATTTCTTCCTGGCGGACCACACGGCATTTCCAGGCCAGATGAGATATATAATCCCTCCAGCATGTTCTGGGCCTTCCCCAGGGCCTCCCACTAGTTGGATGTGCCCTGAAAACCTCCAATAGAATGTGCCCTGGAGGCATTCCAGTCAGATGCCCGAGCCACCTCAACTAGCTGCTGTTGATGGAACAGTTCCCTCTGGATGTTCGAACTCTGTACCCTATTTCTAAGGCTGAGTCCAGAGGAAACTCATTTCTGTCGCTTGTATTCTCTGGGTCTCTCCCCAAACCTCCTGGTCATAGGTGAGGGTCGGGATATGGATTGACTGCTAAATCGAGAGCTTTGCCTTCCAGCTCGGCTCCCCCTTCACCACAACGGACCGGTTCAAAGCCTGCGATACTGCTGATGCTGTACTATTTCACCTGTCAATGTCACATTCAATTTTACCCTTACTCATGAACAAGACCATAGATAATTTCCCACACTGACATGTAGTATACACACAGTATAGGGCTGGGAGGGATAAAGGAAAGACTGTATAAAGCAGTTCCAGTCTGCATGAAGCCTGTTCTCAGTGTGCTGTTCCACTGCTTTGTGTGAAGACAGTTGCATAAATAATGTTTATTTTGGAAGTTATTCTGAGACCAGGATATGTTCAGATTATGTTCAGATTCATGTTGAAAACTTGAAAATGATCCATTAAGAGGGTGCTGTGTTTCATTTGCAGCCCCTGTCTGTAGTTAGGTGGTTAATAAGCAGGTCCAAACATCCAAGAACAAATAGCTTAATAGTGTTTTGATAAATGAAAAGCTGAGGAAATTATCAGAAGTTTGCAGATGACATTTCTGAATAATTTGAAATGTCCATTTAACTGGTTTCTGATCCATGGCTTTTAAGGTGTGTTTGTATAATGACACAGATTTGACTGGGAGGCCTGTCTCCAGATGATCAACCAGTAGGACATGTGAAAAAATCATAGCATGCATGTGTGTTTGGGCTGCTTTAATAGATACATGGTCTTACCATACGAAAGCAGTTTAAATGTCTTGATATTTTCAGATGTTTTCTGAAGATTATCATCAAACCTGAGTTAATAAATCACTTCTATCTTTAGTGAGGAACACAGTGAAACTGTTTTGGCACGGCTCGGTGTTGAACAGTTACAATGACCAACTGCCTGATAAACAGTTACATACTGTATGATGATGATTTCTGGTAATATTACCTTTTTTAGCCAGTTTTACTCATTTTAAAATGTTAAAATCAACAGTGATAAAGTCCCAGATTGGTTTATAAACAAAGAAACCAAGAACTCTATGGTTATTAGTTTAAGTAAGTTTGCCTGCATGTCACCTTGATCCTTGTGCTTTAAGGAGAGCCTGCATCTCATCTCACTGTCGCCTGCATCTCATCTCACTGTCGCCTGCTCAACTCTCATCCTTTAGTTTTATCACTGTGCACTGTAGTTTAGTGCCAGAGTGACTCATGCATGCACGCATCCACACAGGGCATTATTCATCAGAGTGAGTCTGCATGCACAGGCCTACATGTATGTGTGTATGAGGCGGGAGGTGCATGTCTAGCTGTGTGTGTGAGAAAAGTGAGTGTATGATAAGCACTGCAGCCTGTTGGAATGTGCTGAAAGGCCTGATGAGAGTGCCTGGGTGCCTGTAGCATGGCTCCCAGGTACAGATTAGAGCGGGAAGAGCGAGACTGGTGGAGGCCTGGAGAATGTGAGTGGGAGAGGGTGAACAAGAGTGGAGGAGAGAAATAAAGAGGGGAAAGCACAGGGGAAGAAGAAGAGGAGGAGGAGGAGAAGTATGTGGGTAGCATGTTGAGAGTGGTGGGGGCATTCAGTGAAATAACCAGGAAATGTAGAGTTGTTTCATACTGACAAATGGAAAACGAAATAAGACAAGATGAGGGATAAAAGTTGAGCAAAAACACTTTTGGTGACATCATATTGTATATGGTGAGAGTGAAGGCCAGTAGACTGGATGTGAATTGCTTTCAGGCTACAGATGTTCACATATGTAAAAGGGTTACATAAATGTGGTAATACTAACTGTAATAATGCTGCAGTTCCAAGCTGCTGGGGGTCTGCATGAGATAGATGCACTGAAAGAGACTTACAGACACAGTGCACCATTAGTTTTCTTGATCGTTCTAATACCGAGGGCAAACAGAGGGCTAGTACTGAAAATGAGGTTCTGGCTACAATAATGTGTTAAGTGGCTTCTGCAGCAAACCAGACATTGTTTTTAAAGTGGAAACCACTGTTTGCATCTGTCGCCTTCTCTCCTCGACCCCTCAACATCATGTCTCTTTTTTCAGTTCAATTCAATTTATTTGTATAGCACCAAATCACAACAAAAGTCATCTCAGGACACTTTACAAAGTCAGGTCTAGACCTTACTGTTATTATTATTATTATTATTATAGAGGAAAAACCCAACAACAACATCAGAAACATAGAGCTCCAGAGCACCATTTTTGTGCACTTTTCTGTTTTCTCCATTTTGTGTGTTTATTCTTGGCGGTTTCTCCAATTGGGAACACACTCGGACAAATGCACAAAGAGATAAAATTACAAGTTCTCTTGAAAAGGTCCAAGTCCAGATCTCTCCATAGTTGATCCATAGTCCATAGTCTTTATACTGCATTTAAAGAAATGACTGTCCTCCATGTCTTCTGCATCTTTATCCTGCAGTGACCCAACGTATAGTACCTGTTCTGTCTGAATGAAAACTTCAGCACAAGCTCACAAAGCTCTGCTCTATGAACATTCACTAGATTTATGAAACAATATTGTGTACAGCTGAAAAATTCTAATTCTTGAAAAGGCTGCAAGTGGAACAGCTTCTGTCAGGCAGTGATACTGTTGCTTGAAGGTTTCACGATCAGTGCTACTGGGTAAACATGAGTGTCCGTCTAAACCCACAAGTTAGCATAAACAAATCTTAAGTCAAACTGATATCAACTGAAAAATGTATGTACAGTATAATGATGTAGAAGACAAACAAACAAAAAGACTAATCTGCAGGATGTCGTTCTTCTCCAGATCTTGCTATTTCCCATCCAGGAGCCATCACAGTCAGGTCGTTTCTCTGTGTCGCTGAGTGGTGAGTTAACCATTGCTGACGTCCAAGTCGAAGACTCTGGCTATTACATCTGCCAGGCCATCAGCGTGGCCGGCAGCATCCTGACCAAAGCCCTGCTAGAGGTGGAAAGCGGTGAGTGTAAACATGTAAACATGAACATTTTATGACTGCATGGCTTTGCATTGCTTGGCTTTTGGATTCCACTGATAAACTTCTCTTACCTACTGACTGTTTGCTCAAGGTCTAGTTAGGTTCAAATCACAGCTTGACATCATTAATTTCTTTTGTCTTACTGTTGACTGAACACAGCCAAAATAACCCTCCTGTCAGAATGCTTGAAAATGTGTACAAAGTGTGCTGTCTCGTCTCGCTATTCTGCAGATTATTTTCACTGGTTTTCAGGAGATAAACTAAACTAAGATAAACTAAAGGACTCACTGAAACAGACATTTGGCATTTGTGCTTCTGTGATGAATCTTTAATCACTAGAAATACGAGATGATTGTGACTCATTAGTGTTTGAAACCAGTGTATACTCTCAGACTGTGGCTAGTTTCACCCACTGGTTTAATAATTAATGCCAATGAGGCTAAACTGTGAAATTTGCCTCTGCAAACCAGATGAAGAAAAACAAAAGGTTATGACACAAAAAGTCATGAAATTTTCATCATGTATTTGTTTTAGGTGGCAGATAAATATTTGACATAGATATGCATTTCTGTGTCCTGTAAATGCAACACCATCCAAAATCCATGGCTACTATTTGTTTTGCTAATTATCGAACTTAACATTTCCAAATCGATATTTGATTAATAATTTTTCAAAATCTGCATATCAATCCCCCAGAAATGCACGTGCGTCCATATAAAAATCAAAAACCCTTCAAATCTGTCTCAAATTAAAATATCCTTCCCGCAGATGAACAAGCAGCAGGAGTCCTTATCTGATTTGATCAAAAAGGGACAACTGGTGATAGTTCTATGCAAATAACCCTGCCGCAGCATATGCTTCCCTCCCTGCCTCCCTCCCATTCAGGGAGTAAACAGCTCTGTCTGTACTAACTCCTCTGTTGACTTTCCACATTTTCAGTTAACGTCAGGGCTCAGACGGTATCAGAGCCTTTTATAGCACAAAATGCAAATCAGAATATGTTCCATGTCTGTAGGAAAACATTAAACTCTAGGTGAAGGAAATTTTTTTTTTTTTTTTTTTTTTTTTCAGTTCAGGTTCAGGGGCCTTGTGAGCTGTGGTTGCCACCACAAGCAGTGACTTTGTATTTAAACCAGTCTTCAGCTCTTTCCACAACCATACTGTATATGAATGTGCAGGAATTTTTTGGACTTGTTTAAACTGAGCATAACTCTGAGTTGGCAGCACTCCCTTACAGACACAGAGCCAGTGTGAAATTGACAGGGGTCTCACATGTAACCTTATAAACATTTCATTGTTTTTAAAATAATACAGTAAAATCACACTGTAACCACTGTGTTTATGGTGAAACTGACTGTGGTCCTCCAGAGAGCACAAGTGGATGTGTCACCCACTTTATCTCCACCTACAGCTGCTTTCAAAGCTGATCAAACCACCATAAAATGCAAAAGCAGACACAACGTATATCCCCACAGCAGTAACGAAGGTATGTCTGTGTGAAAGTTGTTCGTTTGGAGAAACTGTAACTTAACAGTGACAACAGCCACAGTGAGGTTGATCCGACTCTACCTGCTGTGTAACAGGATTAATGGAGACATCTGCATGGTGTTTGTTATTTATCTTGCCTCATGAGCTGCTTTTATGTTTTATTATGTGTAATTTTTAATGTGGATTGGGATTCTCAAACATGGGCTGCAGATCACCTCTGGCTGCATCCTGTAAGTAGACTACAGGTGGTACCTCCTGACGTGCACCAACCCTGTTTGACCACATTCCTATCTATAGGCACATGCAGAGGACCAGTGTATTTATCCTATTTAAAAATAACCTTCATGATACACAATAAATGAGTGAATTCCAGCAGATCAGCTGTGGATTTAAAGGTTAATTTAAGTTGATGTTTCCATTAATAAAATACATTTGTGTGCTTGATCTCATGCTTCCCAGCCTATGTGCTTGTCAGGAAAGCTGTAAATGCAATAAGAGGTGGTCTGAGCAGGTGTTATCATTGTCACTATTTCAGGTCAAAATGAGCACCTAAAACTGCCTAATCAGCACACACACGGTCTCCCACCTCAGTGTAAGTGTATTCATTTATAGCAGAAAAATACCAAACACACTAAATGCGCAAATAAAGTAGACATGTGCAGGAACAAAACTGCATAACGACTGCCACAGTTCTTCTGTGAGTTTAGGCTGTTTCAGTGTCTCCTGGCTCTTCATGTGTGCCCAGACTGGTACCATGATGTTGGGATAGGGCTCAGTGGGGGCCACACCACTGGAGAGTTCTTTATGACTCCGGCTGTACAGTGTGTTTGAGCTTGTTGTCATGCTGAGTGACTTCTCCCTGATGGTACAGTGTTGTATGGTGGAGAGAAAACTCTGTGCTCAGCACTGTACATGTAGTGAAAGGAAATACACTATATTTTGTTTAAATACACTTAGCACTATCGACCAGGACTGTTTTCAAATTACTCAGGACTACTTGTTGAGAAGATATTTCTAAAGTGTAATAAATAATACATATTTGCTGAGCTCCAGCTCAATATCATGTCAAGTGGTCCATAACTCTTACAGGGAGTAATTGTATCAACATAATCGTGCCTGGGTAAAATCTATGTCATCGATTTACATGTTGAACTGGGGCAGGACCAGAGAGCCTCAGGGAGTGAGTGCTCTCTTCTAGTGACATTTTACAGTTCACATGGCAGGACTTACTGCACTGTGGTTTTACAGGCAAACATAAAGTTTTGCAGCCCATGGACCTAACAGTAGTATTTAGTTGATCTTTCTCTGTGAATCTGGCTTCCAGGGCGACACATACTGAATTAAAAGCAGAATGAGATGCAAAATTCCCTTCATCTTATTTTTATTAGGATAGAGTTTGATGTCTGGGCTGCTGAGTGAGCCATGTAGTGAGCACTGTAGCTTTTTGTTGTTGTGTGGATAATACTGGACAGGATGTTGTGGAGTTTTAAGTATTGCCACTAAGACTAAGTGGCTACAAATGATTGCAACAACAACGCTATCTGTGGCTGTTTGTACACGTTTTGTTCTAGTGGTACAGACTGCTAAAACCCTAGTGAATACCTCGATGAGGCTGGAGCACAGGTGACCATGGTTAGTTAGACATCACATGTATGTCTCATTGCAGTGTGGCCGCTGTTGTGCGTTTGGTAGTTCATGTCTGACCTTTCATCTCAGAGCTCACTGTGACTGTGTTCTCTGTCCCAACAGCACCTTCGGACCGTGTACCCCCCATCATCCGTCAGGGACCAGCCAATCACACCTTAGCTCCAGGTTCCACTGCTCAGTTACACTGCCACATCATGGGCAACCCCATCCCCAGCATCCAGTGGGAGAAAGACGGCCAGAGGATCCTGGGGAACGATGGTCGAGTCAGCTTGATGGAGAACGGCACCTTCCAAATCACCAACCTCCAGGTACTTGAGTAAACCACTTCCACTTAAACAAATAAACTGCAAAAACATTTTATTTGTTTATGAAATTTCAAAGTGATGAAACAGTAATGACAAACCTTTTACAGTGATGACCTTCTTTCAGTTCACACCTTTTCTGTGATAACCTGCAACGTATCTTGTATATTTATGACTGTTCATGTCATCACAAACACCTTCCAGTGAACTCATTAAAATGGATTCACGACGTACTGTACATGTATCACTATTTGCACATCAAACATGATGCAGTTCACTCACGATAAATCACCAGAGTTTTAATTAGCAGGAAAGTGTGAATCACTTAAACAGAGGACGTTTTTTATGGTTGAGTCAAGTGATGAGTTTTATGTGAGGAGGAGAGGTGTATGTAGCAAAGCAGCATCTCTGAGGCGTGCTCACCATGGTAATGAGTGTGCAAGGCCATTAGCAGTCATTAGCACTGTCTTACTCCATGCTAATGAAATCTATTCTGCCCAGAATTCCCTCCTGGGTACGAGGCAGCACCTGAGGTCACCGCAGCCTCGGCAAGACTCAGGGAGGCTCACACATTAATTGATTGTGGGTTCTTAATGATTAACGATCGCTGAGACTTGTAATTAAATACTTAATACATCAGTTCAAGTGAAGACTGGATGAATGAAGGAGAGAGGGAGGAGCAGGAAGCTGAGCGAGAGAGAGAGGGGAGAGGAGCATAAATAGTCTGTAGTCAGAAACCTCAAGTTGGTTTTATGCTGCATTGAAGTCATGTGGGAATTAAAGGGAAAGCACCAACATGGAAGTGTTCAAGCTTTGGAAACATTTGAAGCTGTCAAACAGCCTGTTGAAGTTCCACACAGTGAACAGTTACACACTAACTTATGGTGATGAGTTTGAGTTTGTCATTTCACAGCAAACATAACAAAACTAAAGATGTTAATGGCCTTGGATGAGATGACAAAAGGCTAAAAAGATGTCCAGACAAGAGTGCTCAGACGATCGGGCAGGGTAGTTAGTGAGGTTGGGTTTTACAAAAAAATCACCTGTATGAAAATAGGCCATCAAGAATTTGTGTGCTTATGTTTTAATATGGAGTTCCTGTTTAACCTAAGAGACTTTTTATACAACATGTGCTGTAATAGTAACTGATTTGATGATCGAATCTAATGATGTCAGTCAGGCTATTTCCAATTTGAAAATAACAAAAGACCTTTCTAAACCCTAAGAAGAAAATAAAATTGTTTTGTATCAATGATAGATGTGTAAAACGTCTTTCAAAACAACCTTAATCTGAGCTCTGCTAGGAAATACAGTCACAGCCAAAAATACTGGCACCCCTACATATCTGTCAGATAACACACCGCTTCTCCCAGAAAACTGATGCAATCACAGATTCTTTGTTGTTATGTTTATTTCTTTTCTTTGCATTGGAACAACACAAAAAGCCAAATCTGATCCAGTCCACACAGAACTCCAAAAATGGACTGGACAGAATTATTGACAATCTGATGATTATTTCTAAATCATCAGAAATAGTTGTATATCAAACATGTGATGCTCCTTTAATTTGTAATGAAACTCACCCGTAGCAACCAACAGGTTGCTGGCAACATAGAAATCACACTGGCAACCAGTTAAAATGGAGCAAGGTCGATTCAACCTTTGTGTCATGTGGACCACACTGAGCATGGAGAAAAGAAAGAAGAGCAGAATTGGCTGAGGATTTGAGAACCACAACAGTGGAAAAGCCTGGACAGTCTCAAGGCTCCAAGTCCATCTCCAGAGATCTGGTTGTTCCTGTGTCCACTGTGAACAACATTGTCAAGACGTTTCCAGCCCATGGAGCTGTAGCTAATCTCCATGGATATGGACAAAAGAGAAAAACAGATGACAGACTGCAATGAAGAATTGTTCCAATGGTGGATAAAGAACCTTGATCAACTTCCAAACAGATTCAAGCTGACCTGCAGGCACAGGGTGCAACAGTGTCAGCTCACACTATCTGTCACCATCTGAATGACAAGGGACACTTTGGTAGGAGACCCAGGGGACCCACTGCTGACACAGGAACATAAAAACGCCAGAGTAGAGTTTGCTAAAACTCACCTGAGGAATTCTTCTTGGAGAGGCTCACGGATGGTTTTGGGTTGGTTT